TTGAACTCTTCTTAAACAAAATGTACGGCTTTCCTTTTTACTGCCACTCCTCAAGTAGAAGAGAGGACCCAGATTTTCTCTACAACACTTTGCTTAGATGTTGCCCACCTGGCAGTGGTGGAGCTTGAAAGAAATATGAGGGGCGAAGTTAAGCAGTGGTAGGCACAATATTTGGAGAATGGTTTTTTCATATTCTGGAGAAATCGACCATGCAAAACAAAATTACCCTTCCATGAAGAAAAACATGATTTAGATTACCAAAATTGTAAATATACATTATTCTTGGCAACTTTAAATATCTCAAATAATTTGGACAAGTTAAAACATAATGAAATTTAAATTGCAAATTGCTAGATGATTGATTTTTATAGTCTAGTCTCTTAATTGCAGCAAAATATAATGTTTGCACTAGTGGAAGTGTATTTATTAAGTTAACAAGGAATGGATGCATCGGGCACGACAATGGCTGTGACTGAGCGAAACTGATTTTCACTTGTTAGGAATATGAACGAAATAGATCCCATACTGCCTTTTTCTCGCTAATCCCAGGCATGTCCAAGGATGTGCTAGAACTTATTTTGAGTGGACCGGTGGGGCAAGTGAAGCTGAACGCCAGGGCCTAACAGTCTTGGAGATGGTCCAGTGGCTGGCCACCTGTCACGCTTTCATGGCACACTGCATATTTGACAGTCTTTTCTCGACGCCCTGCTTCTTCATCCCTTCATTAGCAGCTCTCCATTCTCTTCCTCATGCCTTCACCCATCTACCTTCTCTTGTATTTGCTGATATTCTGCCCCCTCTCTATTGGATGTGCTCTTTCAGTTGCCTTCCCTGTCCATCCAACCGCCTCACGTTCAGCTAGCTCCTCCCTATTACTCTCCCAGTTCCTTCTGTTAGTGCAGGTTATTCTCCCTCTACTCCTCTAATGGCTGATGACTTAGGACCCTTCCCCTTTTGTGCATATGTTTGTGTCTGCTCATAGATGATAATGATGTCACATTAGTGGTAGCATAACTAAATACATCATCTTTCATGTGCTTCATGGATGCTCTTTTGTTTTACTTCTACCATTTTCTACATTGCATGTGATCATTTTGTATGGTTAAGGATATATCAAGTCCTACTGTAATTTGTACGTTCTTCCCTCTCGTTCCCTTCATACTTTCTTTATTCGTACGGGCTTATAGCTATGCCATTTGCACATTTTAGCCTGTTTGCTTAAATATTTTCTCAGCATATCTCGCAATGTTTGTCTAATTGGAATATGTATGGGCGACCTATTTTCTCATTATTTGGTCATATTCGATGTTCAATACTTCATATTAAACACATGACCAAAATGGCTGGATTCACCATAAATACTGCTTTAATCTTGAATTGCATTTTTACTTAACATTTATCATTATAAGTGGTGGCCAAAGTATTGTTTTGATGTTGTACGGATTAAAATAGAATGTCATATGTATTGTAGATTGAAGGAAGTGTATCTATTAATAAGACGATGCATGATCCCTTAATTGATTCTTCGACTGAATGAATCTAACTAAATTTGATTTGTTAGCAACTAGCTAGGTAAATCAGATGTTTCTCCTTTCCTATTCCATGAGCCCCTCATATGCCCATCATAACAAAAAATATTTTAAATGATTTGGTGAGCTACGATCTTCGGAATTGGCCTCCTATGGAGTTCTTAAAGCCACTAATCTTTTAGCCTCTACTAACATCAAATGTAGCCAAAAAACTTGATGTTGGCGATGGAATTTCTAGGCGTGCCACTATTTTGCAAATCACCTATTGCTTCTCTTTGTTCGTATTGCTGGCATTGTGTTAATGCTGAGAGGATCCAAATTTGGAGATTTTGGTAGAAGTCCACAACACTAGTGTAGCGACGTTTACTGTTTGAGTCGTACAAAAATTGGGCGATATAACTTTAATAGATTTTGCATGAATGACTTGTACAGATTGGCTTGACTGATGAAATTGATTGCTTTGCAGGTGTCTGGAATTACAGTCCGGTGGCAGATGCAGAAACGGCTTTTTTGTTGTAGGTTCTTCCATTTTATATGTTGTGTTGGTGCTGGCATTATTCATTAGTCAACTGGCATGAAGACACGTTTCGCTTGTTTGTGTTGGCGCTGTCGGTTATCTTGCTTGCAAGCGTTTGAGGCAAGCCAAAGTCTTCTGTCCCGTGTTGTGTCTGGTCGAGATTGTAACTACTATTCTCTGATTAAGCTTTTGTCTCTTTTTTTCGTGTGTGCATGCGTGTACTTGGGTTTGTACTACATTAGATATAAATATGTATGTCGAAAAGATAGCAATGCTGCGGTGATGCTATAAGAGTTGAATTTGTGCCACATGATCGAACACACGTAGTTGTCAGGATCACATTACTCTTGGCGAATATAAGATTGCACCCCATTGTGTTGTTACCAGAATGCCCAGGATGTGAGCTGTGTAGAGTTTGCTGTGTGTGGCTCAGGATGCATAAAGTTTGTCTTCTGTTTCATTTCGCTGGAATTACATTCAGAAGGTTCTAAGCTGTCTGGAAGTAGTACTGTTGTACCCTCTCCAGCTCTAAACAATCCCTTGGCTGTGAAGTTGCTGCATGTGTTAGTGCAGAGGAACAAAACCGAATGCCTTTTGCAACAACAAAAAAAGAGGAAGTGGAAGAAAGAAAACCCGAATGCGTGCAGTGATGCGTGTTCATCTCAGGAGCAGGAGAGTGCCGCCCATCTGACCCTGCATTTCCGCTGTTACATGAAGGACGTCAGGTCTGGCATTGATTTCAGAACTCTAACGCTAGAGTGTGCTCAATTGCTTCTTCGGCGTCCACAATCCGGGGGTGGTGGAGGAGGGTTTGCTCGGGCAGCGGCTCGCAGGGCAACAAGAAGAAAGATCTGAAATCAAATAATTTCCAACAAAAAGAAGTGCGTGTGTAGTATGTAAGTAGCTGGGACATGGAGGAAGATACGACGATCCGGTTAGTGCCCACTGAAGCAGACCGCGATATGCAGCAACTCTGCTCATGAACTCATCTTCAACAAAATGTGGCCGTGTTCTGCACCCGTGATTTGCTGAGGGAGGGACTAGTATGGAGGATTGGTGATGGCTCTCGTGTCAATATTCATCATGACAATTGGATTCCACGGAGTGGTTATATGCGGCCACTGGGTCAGGTTTTTATCCAAGGTATTACTAAGGTTGCTGATCTGCTAAGCCCGGATGGCACTGCCTGGGATTGTGC